GCTGCTGTTACAGAGCACAAAACGCATAAAAGAATTTACATTTCATTCGCAGCAAAGCCATTGATCCTCAACAGCTCTAACTGAGCATACGCAAGCTCCTCCGAATAACATGGCAGCAGTGACTGCAAATTCATTGTCACACGAGGAAGCCGGACACGATCAGACGCGAAATGCGATCTCCTTGCTGCAAAGCCGCAAATGAGTGAAGAGAACAGCAAATATGATTAATCTATAAATGGTTACTACACTTTCTTCTGACTGTAAGTTATCGTTTCACAGCTCATCTTCACTGCAAACGGCAACTTGCTCTGCACAAAGCTGCATCGTCTGATTACTAGCGGAGCTGCTACTGATCCTATTCCGTGCTTTCGCTTTCTCTAATAGCCATATCACATTTTTTTTGTTTGAATATGACTGCTCATTTCATCTTTTGAAATTCTCTTGCTCCCTCTCACTATAACTATCACTATTGCAGAAATTATATTTCAATTTGACTGCTTAGCAGTTTCCAATAGCACTGCGGAATCATGGAAAAGGCGACCAAATCACCTCACAAAGTTACATCTTGTAATAAATATAAAAAAATAGCAAAACGACATTAACCTGTTGGTCCACCGACCATCTCTTTGAATGCTGAAGCAGTTCCCTCGACCAAATCGAAAAAACCCTGCACGGGTTTGGTCACAGTATCCACTGCTCCCGTTGTAATCCCGCGTACTGCACCCTACAAAGTACGGTTGATTAGAAATAAAGTATAAAGTAAAGCCATTCTTGAATTAGGAAGCGTTCCCACAGTTTTAAGCATCACGAGCGGTAGGCTCGGTGACTGCAGACAAAAAAAAAAGAAAAACTCAATAACAGCTTTTTCCTCTCTGAGCCCTGCCCTTACAAAATAGCTGTATCATACAGTACTTTCAACTAAAAAAAATGAAATTTTTATTTTGCCGATAAAATCCGATACAAGCAACAACGTATAATAAAAAAACAATTCAAAATCCACTTACCGTAAGTCCATCTTTGCGACTTTCATTATATGTATTCGTCATAATTGCGGTTAAGCCGCCCAACACACCAACACCTAAGCCCTGGAAAAAACTACTACGATTAATGAGCTCGGGCGTAAAAACAATAAGTCACATTCTAGCAGTCTAGTGCATCCATACATCTCCCTTAGAACTGCCATCAGCCCTATCTTCAAAAGAATAGTTTTGGCTAAGTTGAACAAGTTAAAAAATTTCATGTGCCAAAAAAAGCATCACTGAAAGAGAAAGAGGAAAACTAGTCCGAATGCATATGTGTCAGTTGAAAAATCTTTAAATCACACGTGCTCAGAGTATATTATCCTGGAATTTCAGCTTCCTATCTTGATCCCAAAAAAGTTTTCCGGACAAAAGTTTTTTATTTACGTGAGTGGATAAAAAACTTTTTAAAACACGAAAGTTGATTTTCAATTTTTGAAGGAGCACATGAACCGCAAACATCCTCGTAAAATTTCAGTTTTCTAGCTTCTCTGGTTGCAGAGTTGAAAGTGGGTAGTACAAATCTAACAAAAACATCGTAATCTTGAACATCTGCATTTTCGAATCGCACCAGTTTTGTAAAAACGCAAAACAGCAGAACGAACCTTTACTCCACAATATAAATGAGCAAGAGCACTGTTGCTGTCCGCATGAGACTGACAGCGCAACATCCGGCGCCTCATCAGCTCATGGCGCTCATCAAAAGTTAACGATCCAACACCTGTCGCCATTGACGAAGCTACCTGAACAAAAACAACGAAAAAATACATATATTCGCTTTGCGTAAGCTTTATATCACAGCCATATCTGCATTCTTAAACGGATGGTGTTTTATGAAAAAAAAAAAAAAACAGAGAAAGAGGCATTTTATTCAAAAAATAAAACATAAATCCAGACACGGCAAACCTAAAAATTTCAAATGAAGAAGCTGTCAAAAGCATTTACGGCACAATGAACACAAAACATAATGGTGAGACGAAAGCGGGTCGAAATAAATGAAGAAAATTAAATGAGGAAAATCGGAAAGCAAGCATTTCCGCTATAAAAATGTGCAAAATTCTGTACGAATATATTCACTACTCATTTAAACATGAACTGTACAATTCGGCGCAGCAGTCATTTTGACCGGCCGAAAGTTACGCGTAAGCAGCTTTTTTTTAAGGAAGAGAAACAACTCCAAAATTTCTATGAATTTCAGCAACCTTACCAGGCCATCAAGGCCAAAACTGAACTATGCTACTGATGCTCAGATAGCTTATAAATATATCTTAGCCACGTGTTCTCACGCAAAACACACTCTTTGCTACACCGCATTTCATTTCAAGAGAGAGAGAGAGACAATTACAGAACAACTAAGAAAATGCTGCGCGGATTAGTTCAATACCTTTGATATGCTGTTTGTGACGCCATAGCCCAAACCGCTAACAAATCCACTCAAATTGCCTTCAAACAGCAGCCCTTCGAAGCTTTCCTTCAGATTTGAAGCGAGACCCAGTGGATTACCAAACGCGTCCATCGTCACAATTATGTTGAATGTCTGGTTCTTCAATTCTTCTGCAGTACCAGTGTATAATGAACTGAACTCCATATTAGAAGAAATTTAAAACATTTTTTAACATATGCAGCTGCCCTATTCGTCAGTATGCGAAAAAGCACAAAATCTAGTAGAGGCTGGGTTAATGTTCAGTAAGGACAATATGAATATTCGTTAAAGGTTTTAAAATTTGAAAAAATGGTACTTCTAAGGTAATCTAGGAAAGAAACCTTTAATGTCTTCGATATCTGGTAAAAGCAAGAACTGAACTCATAAATGTTGTTATACTAGCAAAAAAACTGGCAAACAACACGAATGCACGCTGTTGTCTAGAGAGCATGGCTTTCCTTTTTTTGAAAATTGTGGAATTCAATGTTTTGCTCCGAGCTAAATTTCCGGGACATATATTTTTGAATTATTTCAATTGTTTAAGAAACTAATAAGCAACCGAGGTAGAATTTGCTG